AAAAAATAATTGAGTAAATATTTTCTTGGAATGAGGGGGAGCAGAGTTTGCTACCCCAAAATATGCCTCTTTGGGATGCTGATTATTTTAAGTGGGTTATTTTTAAGAAAGGAAAGACTCAGTAAAAACCTTTGACTTTCCCCCTAACTGCTTAAAAAGAAGCTAGATAGAGGACTTGTTCTGGGAAAAGATGTCATCACAGGTAAGTGTAATATGAACTGGTGTTGCAAGGGTCCTTTGATCAAAGTCCTCTCTGTGTCCTGTTGTTAAAGATGGCCCAGCAAACATTTGCTTTTCTGTCTCTATGTGAATTGCCTTCCTGCCCTTTGAAGTCCCAAACCACAATCCACAACCCCTTCTCCTTAGCTCAAGATGGCTTAGAAGCCTCAACTGCCTGATCTGTCCTGTGGTCTCATGTTCTTATGGAACCCCATATGTACATATGTAATAAATTTAGACATTTTCTTTTGTTAATCTGTCTCATGTTAATTTGATTATTACCCCGCCAGCAGAACTTTAAAAGATAGGAAGAGAAATTATCCCTCCCTCCCCACCCCAGGAGCTAATATCCTGGGTCAGAGAATCCTTCTTCAAAATGACCTCCTACCAAATGTATAATAAATAAAAAGCCTCTCCCACCCTGCTGGATGGCTCAGTTGGTTGGAGCATCAACCCATGCACCCAAACAGTTGTGGGTTCGATTCCTGGTCAGGGCACATAATGCAGGTTGGGGATTTGATCCCTGGTCAGGGTGCAGATGGGAAGCAACTGATAGATCTTTCTCTCTCTTTCTTTCTCCCTTCCTCTCTAAAATCATTACGAAAACATATCCTCAGGTGAGGATTAAAAAAAGCACCTCCCCAGGCCACCACTGTAACTCAGCCTGGACCGGATGCAGCCAGCCATCTGGAGCAGTAGATCTCCCTGTGGCTTTTCAAGGGACAGCAGGGAAGCTGCCAGGTCAGAGGGCCGGGCTTGGAGTTCAGTGTTGGCTAATTACCAGCCCTGTGACTTTAGGCACACACATTGTTTTTCGTCTCAGGTTCCTTCTCCAGATAATGAAGCTAGAAGTAGAACCTGTTGTAAGAATGAGTCAACTGATGTATGAAAAGCATTTAGCACAGTACTGGGACATGCTAGGCCCCCAATAGATGTTGCTAGGTTATTTTCACATCTTCAGGAGGCTTTCCTTAATTTGATATTTTTGTAGATATCTGCCCTGGCAATTTTGGGTTTATTTAGAGAGACAAAGTGACAGAATCTTTGGAATCAGAGCCATTGGGGAAAATTAGAAATCTATAGCTAAAGGTTGTCTTTCAGCAAGTGAAGGAAATGAATAGGGAACTATAAGAATGATTGATGACAAAGGGAAAGAGAGAGAAAAAAAGGGGAGAGCACAAAATAGGTTTCAAAGTCACCCTGAAGAGTTCTTTCTTTTTTCTTTAAAAAATTTTTTTGCTTCAAATCTGCTTGGTGGGTCACCAAGATCTCATTTGAGTTGTTCCCATATTTGCAAAAGTAAACATGAGAATTCATAAACATGTGCAGATGCCGCGATGGCACCCTAACTTAATTTCTACTTTGCAGGGGGAGGGCGTCTTAGAGTTGGCTGTGAATGACAGCCACAGCAGGTAACTAGGTAAATTAATTTAAAGACTACAAATCAATGAATTAAAAAATACAAAAATGATGTTTTGAACCCGTGGGAGCCATGAGAATGTGCTGCATGGATGTCTCATCACAGGATGTTACTTGACCAAGGCTTGAGCTGCTGCACTCAAGTACATTGCTGTGCTGGTGCTATGGCCCCTTTTCATACGAGCTCCTTCCCGCGGTGATTGATATGGCAGAGGGACTGAAGCAGACCATTCATAGGAGAGTCAGGACTTCTCCGGTGGCGTGAGGACTCTGTTGCAACGTCCCCAGACTACACAGCCTCAACTAGGGTGTTTCTACTTATTTTATTTAAAATAAAAAAAAATAAAATAAAATAAAAATAAAAAATTAAAATTAAATTAGTCTCTGAAAATCAGTATTGTTCAACTGTGGGTGTTAAAATGTGCAATTTAAAGGAAATTGTAAGGAGGAGGGCAGGGAAGCGGTACCAGATAATCTGAAAGGTTAACTCTTAATACTGAAAAAGGTAAATTTGCAGAGAATGTTCTACCTCCTAATTATACTTCTTTACCCATACATCTCTCTTTAACGGTGAAAACCATAAGGGTTTCACCAGGATATTCCAGCTTTCAATCTTTAATGCTCTCAATTTCTCTCTAAATTCACAAACTTCCTTAAAAACAATTGCTCTTCACAAGTAGATCTTTCTGCTAGAAAAAAAGTATTTTATGTTTTGTTCATCCTGAATAAATAAATTGACATTCAACTCTCATTCAGTTTTATATAAGTTTAGATAAGTGGTAAGTTTTCTTGGGTCTGATCACTTCTGTGTAGGTAACTAACCAGGTTGAAGAACAAAATCAATGAGTCCAGGTGTTTACACAGGTACAGATACAAGAAATTCTCTAATTCCAATTAAGTCAGAGTGATGATTTCAAATTTTAATTTGGTACTATTTATGGACAAGTTTCCTAAAAACATTTTACATTGTAAAAAGGAACTAGAATAACTGTCAATAAAAAAGCGTATGAACTGGAATGGTGGGAGTAGGCACAGTGGTGACTGTCCCTGATGTTCAACAAAATGCCACAGAAACTTAGTCACATAAAAATGTCAGGTCAGGTATTTTCTTAGACAAATTCAAATCCAGCCACTTGAGACAGAGCAGTGAAAAATCAAGGAACCATCAGATCTAAAGCTCACTACCGTGAATTGTACTAACGGTATATATACCTGGTAAGACCTGGGTAACCAATACCTCAAAACCACACTAACTTGAAATCTTTTTTTTTCCCAACATACTTTCATGTTGCTTGCAAATAAAGCAATTAAGATAAAATACATAAAGATATTTTAGTCAAAAATTTTAAAATCAAATATCCATGAGTATTTGCCAGGCCTCGTCCCCTAGATTGTAACAAACAATGTAATAACAAGTGACAAGGTCCTTGTCCTCAGGAAAGAACAACTCTAAGAACAAGCAAATAAAAGCCAAACAGAGCAAATAAAAGTACAACTAAACAACAGCAAAAGCAAAAGACAAAGTTAAGCAGGGTATGTTGGAACAGAGTGTATGAAATGATGTCTGCTGAGCTTGGGAAGGCATTTGAGCTTGACCAGCATAGAAGGAGGGAGGGCAAAAGTTACTAGATTGACCACTAGGTAAAAATGTCCACAGCAGAAAGAATCACAGACAAAACCAAAAAACTACTTAAAAACTAGTTAAAAAAAAGAAGTTAGTATCTGTAAAGATACTTGAATCAGCACAATAAATGTAAAAAGTCTTAAGATTTCTACAGAGGTATGGTTAGTCCAAGTTTCTAAAAATAAATATTCCTCTACATCAGTGGTTCTCAACCTTCCTAATGCCACGACCCTTTAATACAGTTCCTCATGTTGTGGTGACCCCCAATTTCATTGTTACAAATTGAACATAATTAAAGCATAGTGATTAATCACAAAAACAATATGTAATTATATATGTGTTTTCCGATGGTCTTAGGCGACCCCTGTGAAAG